TTTGTAGGCATGTTTCCTGGCCTCCAACTTGCGTTTTGTCTCGCCATCGATCCATGGGGGGGGGACGTGCTGCCCATCCACAGAGCTTCAGGGGGACAAATTCGGTACAGAGCCGCTCAATATTTCCACGGATCAAGTTACAACGTTCTTCGACATTGGCAGAGCCACTCGATTCTCCGGATAGGTTCATAGCACGCTGTCTCATGTCGTCATAATCAGTCCTCCAATATGCCGGCCATACGCGTAATTTCTGAAAGATGGGCCACACAGCAGCGAGACAAGAACATGTTTTGACTTAAGTACAAGCTAACGGTCGCCTTTGCTTTTTAACATATCCGAAAAGGAGTTCAGCACCGATCAGGTGTACAGGAAGATGCAAATCCAAAAATGAAAATGGTACATAAACCTAATTGTAGTATTGACCAATTTCGATACCCCAAGCAAAAACGTTTTTCATCGCTTCTTGTCTCCTCCACGCAGCTGCTAACATTTTTCAAAATTTTTCATAACTTTGTACAACTGCCTGTGATTTGATTGGTTTTACCTTCATTACGTTGTTTCGACTATTAATGTTCATTAGCGTACCAACAGTCCCAACTAAATTTATTTCTGTGTTTTGTTTACGAACACAATTTCGCAATTTGGGTTCTATATCAAGGCTTTTTCTTACGGAGAGGCACTAAATTATTCAACTGTTCACCTTTTATGAAACTTTAAAATGCTGGTCAAGTTTGAACTGAATTGACCTTCCCGATAATTGGTAATTACCTTACCCAGAGAGTTGTCGCACATTTGAAAATGTTTTTCTCTCGATTATTCAAGTTGCTTAATTCATGTAATGGCCAATCACGATTGGCCTTCATTCCAGCATTTGCAACCTCGATTACACTTATTTATTCTGGACGACTATTAAGCTTTTCATTAATATCTGGCGACACTAAACAGGTTCGCCAGTTGCTAATAGTTACGTTTTTTCAGAGCCTAACCGAGCAATTTGAAAATCAGTTTCGGACCTTCGCCTCCAGAGAATTTCAAGGCGTTCTTTATATGACGCCTGATGATTTTGTTTTTTCTGTAATAAATGAACAGCCACCAAGTATTTTTGTTGTTGATCGGTTTTTAATATAATATTATAGGGCGACAACTTCAGTCGATTTCCGAAAATGAACTGAGCAAGCTACTGGATAAAACACCAGAAAAGGTTGTACAGCAACCAACTTTGTTTCGTCTTCTTGGGAACCGTGGACTTATATCGTTTTCAGAATATATGTTTTTACTAAGCGTTCTAAACAGTAATGATTACTCATACTTATATTTTGAGAGAACCAAAATCTGGATTCGAGATCGCCTTCAAGGTGCTGGATTTCGACTGCAGCGGAACTATTGAGTTGGATGAATTTTCCTCAGTGAGCAAATTTAAAATCAATGTCACGTTTTGTGTTATAGTTGAGCAATGTCGCCTCTGGTGCCCAAAAGCTGCACACTGAGAAAAATTCGCTAAGTGACTGTAGACTGGTTAGAATTTTCATCTTTTAATACGAATTAGTATGCCAATAATGAGCCGGTCATTCAAACATCCCTTATGCGACATTTCTTCGGGAAAAATGGCAGGAAGAAGCTAAGTTATGAGGAATTCCGCACGTAAGAAAATACCTCGTATCTATCAGCAGATTTGTTGAAAATTTACAAAACGAAATTTTAGAAATTGAGTTCCTGAGAGAGACAAACAACCGGTCAGTGATGCATCCCGAACAGTTTGCTCACATACTTCTTAATCACACAAAACTGCCAGAAAGTTGCTACGATAATTTTTTATCCCGCCTCAAACGCCTATCTCCAGATCTCGAGGTATTACTTAGTTGCATCAACATTTTGGTAGATCGAACTGTCAGATTACAAGAAGTTTTTTCATTTTTTGAACCACCTCCGTGATTTCCAGCTTGCAATGAAAATGTATATGCTGGCTAATAAAGCAATTTCACTAGGTAAGTGAACATCCCGTATCCGTTCATATTCACAGTTGAATTTAGACGAGCAATCAAGGCCTGCACTGGCGAAGAACTTGGCGACGGCATCCTTAACACAGTGTTTTGTCTTTTTGATGAAAATGGTGATGGTCGTATTAGTCCAACTGAAGTTATGGTACTCCTAAAAAACCGAAGACTTCGGGGTTTGACTAAGGTAAGATACTACGTGAGTCATTGAAGTAACTAGGGTGAGAGGCAAACTCTCATAGATATTCAGGTAATTTTAGGTCTTATCCGTAATATATTTTGAGCCTAAGTATTTAATATTACAGGGAGCAATGTTTAGTTACAGCTGAACGCACACCTTAATATGGCAGTCTGTTAAATACAAGCTTGTGCATAACCGAGATGTATAGGTTTAGTTGTACACCGCCAGATATTTCGATATTTTTGTCTTCGGTTCCAACCGGGACCTTAAAATATCATCGTTAACTTTCCATTTAAATGAATATTATTGTAGCTATGAATTTCAAGTCTACGATTATATGTTTTAAATATAAGTATCTTATGATTTGTAAAATTAAATTCTGAAGAGTACATTTTTGGTCCAAAACAACTTCTTCCGTAACGTATTCTACTTATTTTATTATATGTCCCCTTTCCTCCGTCCTATTCTTGTTTTGTGTTCGAATTTGGATGAGTTAATATCACAGAATACCAACTCGGATTATAAAAGTAACTGTTATTGACATATTAAGCACGATCCGTTAGCGCTACGTCAATCAAGATACCAACGCGCATCAATCAGAATCCAGAATTAGTAGTTTACGAAGCGATTTAACTCAATTTTATTACTGTCTGCACTTTCTGCATCATGCTCTGTGTGTTGTGATGAAAATAGTCAATGCCATGTAGAAGTGGCATCCACAGATTATTGATTGCTCATCGCCATGGGACCCTTCGTAAGCGTGCTACATCATAGACTCAAAGACATAACAAGGTTGTTCTAAACTGGATACTGCGGTCAGGACAGATTTTCTGACTCTGTTTCTAAACGGCGCTCTGATATGTTCCCGTGTTGTACCAGCTTTACTGCATCTTGCGAAAAAATAAGCGAATGGATTCAAAGTTGCAAATTTGAGCTGGTTTTCTAAAGATTCTAGCCAAGTATTCATGTTAGATATCATTCGCATGTATGACGTTTTTTATTTCTCAAGTGACTGCAATTTGCTTAGCCATATTACTGAAATCAATCTGTTTACTCGATGCTATAGGCGGCCTACCTGCAAAAGGATCAACGAGCATCGCTCAAAAGCTGTATTCGAAAACAAATCGAAGAACAGTCCTAATTAAGGTAAAACATTCTTATTTGCTTGAATTATTGCACAAACATTTACAAACATAGAAAACGGCCATTGATTACTTATAATGTCTGCATTATCTTTCTGGTCGAAGACATGACAGATTTTCATATCGTAGAATGTTCGTGAAAACCGTAATGCTACCTTGGGGAAAGATTACCAAAAACAACCACCCGCGCAAGTGGTTCCAGCCATTTGGTGCATTTGCTCGATTTTGATCCATATTTATTTATTGAATATGACCATTTTCTAGTTTTAGGTGCTTTAAATTTGTACGATATCGCAAGGACCTTGAAACTGAAAACGATGTTTTAGACCTCAAAGCTATTGTTTAAATTGAGCCTACAGTGTAAATTTTGATAAATTACTTGTTGTGTTCTCTATACTGATGGTTTGGTCTAACTAAATACCGCCGTGACTTACACATGACTGGTCTATAGTGAAGTAGACTTCTAGTGTATCTAACGCACTCTCTCATCCCACATCCACCGCACTCCTTCGAAAGGATTGAGGGTTAACGTGGGTGTTGTGATAGACGAAACTAAACAAACCTCGATGCGATTATTTTGTAGCTCACACATATAAGGCTTCATTCGGAGAGTACCCTAAACCTCAATGAGGCGAGAGCTTGTAAAAGTCACATTAAGGGACCACTGCAGTCCGACGCTCTGTCCTGAGTAGAACCGAGTCAGTCAATGGCCTGCTAGTGTCTCGCTATACTTCTACGGTACGTTTGGTTGTCCAAGCCATATTATCTGGGAATGGGATGCAGTGCAAGAGCCGACTTAAAGTGAAGTCTGTCTAATGTCTTACCAATAATAAATGGTCATTATTCGTTCGATATACTCTTCTCCTTTTTGTGCGATGAAGTAAATTGACTAGTCCGACGGTTTTGAGTTTTAATATTTGAAAGAAATTTTATAGCAGGCAGTACGTGGATTAGCGCGGAGGCACATTTAGCACTTTCAGAAGGAGCATCATTATTCCTGGACAACTGCAATAAAAAAACTGTCAAACACTGGAAGTAAGTGTAGCGCTCAATTCATTTCTTCGAAAAAATAGATGGAAAAAAGGGGTCTTAAATACAGAACGGAAGAAGCTTAGGCTTGCAAAACTGCATGAGCATGTTCCTTTTATGTACAAGGTCGCTGGATATTTTGGCAAGCTCCGATTTGAAGCTTTCTTTCTGCATTTGCAGCCTAAGGAGGTTCAGGAAAGCTAAACACTACTTTCTAGATGGCTAAGACTCCAGTTTTTTTCGCTTGTACCGTTTATTCCTCTCATCCTCTATCTTATCTCCTTTTCTTCAAATAAGATTGGAACTGAAAGTAGTTTTAAGGGTTTCTGTTGCGAAAGCGCCCTGTCAAGCAGATAGACTTCTATTTGTGTTAACTGGCTGTTTTACAATTCTAATAATTCAAACAGCAGTACGAAATTAATAGCGGGCCTCATCGGCAGGTTAAGTAAAGGTCAAAATTTATTTGCATTTTGTCCCGTTGTGAAAAAGGCCAAAAGGATCTTGAGATCGATGTCTAACCCCGATATAAAGTTCCTGGGAAAACAACAAACGCGCGCCGACGAGTAGTAAAAATTGCCGGAAGTTTTCTGAAATACGCATTAATGCCGACTAAAGTGATCAGCTTATCTTGTACGTCATTAGTAGGTAGCCATATCCTAAGCCAAGATCCAGGTGAAGTTGGATTTAATCTGGAGTAATTTGGGTACAGATTGATTCCTGATTTCTTTTCTCTGTTACCATCAAAAAGGACTTTCTGTCGGATTCAATAGGCATGATTAGTTATTGTACGTCCTGCAGTCGATGTATATCGGTGGAGGTCATTTGTATGTAACAACTATTTGTGTCCACCTGTTCCATGTTCAACCTTCTTCTATGTAAAATGGGATTTAACAAGCTCAACTGATTTAGCCTGTGGGGTCTGCGATAGGAGCATAAGACTATAAATGAGTAAGACGACTTGAAGCAGACAAATTAAATTACCGCTGTTTACAATTTAAGTAGGCACCACGGTAGTAAATAATGCATATTTGAAAAATAGATAAGGCTCCAAAGAAGATTCACTTTGCAGGATGGGATTGTAATAAAAATTAGTTGAAAGCTCAACGTTGATATGCAGGGTCTATTGTAAATTCACTTCATTGCTGTTTTCTAAGACCCCTTGTGCGACGATTGCAGCGAAGCCGTACAGTAGGAAAACCGAAATGGTTTACTGAAACCTGCAAGACCAGTGGCTGCGTGAAGTGCTAGAAGAGGCCCCATTCTTCTATGCAAGAACGTCAGACAGCACATTACAAGTATTATCTCAGTAACTGCCCCACTTAGGTATCGAATTCTTTCCGCGTTCAACTGTTTTCAGTGATCTTGCGTGAATGGGTTTTACGGGTTCGCCTTCGGTTTAACGTCCCCATAGTAAAGCAGCTTAGAGAATGGGAAGACCGTAAAAATATACTACAATTATAAACTGATTCGACAAATTTGAAGTGTTATGCAATCGGGAGAAGTGTGCTCTCATGACGAATGAAAAAGTATGACGGAAACGCTGTCTTTGCGCAGACCTATTTTCGTTAAAAACGAAGGTTTTACAGCATGACAACGATTTGTGTTAGAAACTGGACTACAGATTGGAACAGACCACGAAAAGCAAAGTAAAATTGACGAAAACAGACCATCATAGCCGGGGGATCTTATGTGGAAACTTTACACTTGTTAAGGCTTCTGTGGAAGGATGGTTCCCACTGAAATTGGAATTTCGATAAACTTGTGATAACGCACATACTTTTGGGAACGCTTTTAAGGATTCTATAATGGACTCTAATGTCACAGCTTTAAGGGAGTTGAAGCTTGGTGGGGATCAGGACATCACATTTTCTTTTCAGTCCGTTTATAGGATTTTACCATACGCCGTTCGTCTGATGCTGAAGACATCTAAAAAGCCTATAATAGGGTCAGAATCAGTTCAAAACAAGAACTATGGCTTTGGCTCAGCAAAGGATTGCAAACCTTCACAGTCGAGTTTGGAAAGAGACAGCTCACTCCTATACCTAAGTTAAACACGTCTTGGATTCCAAAGCACTTTTACTTCGGAAGTTAAGTTCAGGGACTGTTCTGACCATTTTTGAACTGTAAATGATAGGTGTGATAAACGCAAAACTGACTTAATCAATTATTAGAACGTTGGTTGCACCCAAGTCTCACCCCTGCCGCCGTGGCCTCTCATCTCGTCGAGGTCGCCAAGGTTTCCGCAAGTGGGTCCAATGCATCAATCGATTACTCAAATTTAATGCCACTGCTGATTTTAATTGAATCAGAACATGTTGCTATGAATCAACCTTATACGCATATGTTGATGACCAGGTGATCGCCACAGCCACAGCCACCTGCCTGAAACCCTAGTCCTACCTTCTAACTCACCCCGGGGATTCGGTTAGCATAGCATAATTGCCACCGCACAAGTTTAGACATTTCAGAAACGAGCAGTAGCCACGCACCAACTCATGCAAGTCCAGACTAGGAGTAGTTACGTGAGGCGGGCTCCGTTTGTCAACGCCTATTTGTGCTTTGGCGCGCATGTGTGTGTGTGTCATTCTCTCAAACGGCAGATGAGTGGGGGCCATTGTGTGGCAATTGAAAATCAAGCGTGATGTGTGTGCGTGTGCGCCTATGCGCGCGAAGGCTTGCGCCTAGTTAGATGCGTTTGGGAGCCTAAATGCACTAAAATGCCAGACAAGTCCACATCAACAAGAGAGGCAGATAACCGAACGCGGGAATGCCATCAAACTGTGATTGGACTCCACCGCTGAATAATGCGGCCGGGCATGCGAATTCACCTTGTTCATCTGACAGCGTCACCTAGTTGAGTTGGTATCTTTTGGGATGATTTCAAACCCGAGTATGAAACGCCAGGCAAATAAATCCTGTTTAAGGGGTAAGGAAGAAGGATGGTTGAGCACCGGGTCATTTCATTTATTATCCTGAGCTTTCGAACTCTTACAGGAGTCCATCGTCAGAGATAAGAAACAGCAACAAAAGAGGAGCTAATTATAGTGTGTGTACAGCAATAAACTGTCAAGGGTCACCAGGTCGTGAGGGGTAAGAAACCGTAATGAAAAAGGGGGGGGGACAATTAACCGTCAGTAAGTTCAACGTTCATCAGGGCGTCAGCAACGAAAATGGGGCAGTTAGAGAGGATGTGGGCCAATTAACTGTGACGGACGTCTGGCCGTGACTGTACGTAATTGCGCAAGGCTCTGTACGCCGACTTCCATTCGGCACATTGATTGACTGAATTCCCATCCGTGGGCCAAGCTTTAATACATTCCTTGCTCGTCTTGTTTCCGGCATGGGCAAGTACCTTGACGGCCGCAAATTTGAACTCATGGTCTGTTTCATAGGTGTGAACTGCAACTTGTGATACATCTTCGCGAAATACCTGGAACGCGAATGTTCTACTTCTGTTTAAGTTCTGCGAACGTTCCCATTTTAAACTCGAAAAGTCAAGTCAGAAAACATACATGTTCAGTAATTTATAATCGGGCCTGTACGGTTGCACAGATCATGAAAATATGAGAGGTTATCAGGGTTAACAAGTGTCTTATGGTTAAGCTGCCAGCTCGGCGGACTGCGTGGTGGATGTGCTGGACCAAGACGGGGG